CTCTACATTAGGGAAACCAAGCGGAGGCTTGGGGACCGCTTTGCAGAACACCTACGCTCGGTTCGCACTAAACAACTGCACGTCCCAGTCGCGAACCATTTCAACTCCCCGTCCCATTCTGGACGACATGTCCATCCTGGGCCTCCTGCAGTGCCACAACGATGCTACCCGAAGGTTGCAGGAACAGCAACTCATATTCTGCTTGGGAACTCTGCAGCCCAATGGTATCAATGTGGACTTCACAAGCTTCAAAATCTCCCCCCCCCCTCCCCCCTCCCAAAACCACCCCACCCACCCCCCCCCCCCCTCTAACCTGTCCTTCCTCCCACCTATCCCCTCCTCCGACCTCAAGCCCCACCCCCATCTCCTACCTACTAACCTCATCCCGCCCCCTTGACCTGTCCGTCCTCCCTAGACTGACCCATCTCCTCCCTACCTCCCCACCTACACTCACCTTTACTGGCTCCATCCCTGCCTCTTTGACCTGTCTGTCTCCTCTCCACCTACCTTCTCCTCCTATCCATCTTCTATCCACCTCCCCCTCTCTCCCTATTTATTTCAGAACCCCCTTCCCCTCCCCCATTTCTGAAGAAGGGTCTAGGCCTGAAACGTCAGCCTTCCTGCTCCTCTGATGCTGCTTGGCCTGCTGTGTTCATCCAGCTCTACACCTTGTTATCTTTGATTGCTTTGGAACTAGTTTTAGGATCTGACTGTGTAGTACCAGGAGGGAGACAGAGGGAAAATTCTTTACGTTTTGACATTTGTAATTTGTTAGGATAGGAGTGAGAGAGAGAGAGAGAGAGAGAGAGAAAGAGGCGTGAGTGAGTAGTAGGTAATTGTTCCTAGTTTATTGCTTATAATTGTTACGGGTCACAAAGGCAGGAGAACTCAGCCCTGTGAGATGCTTCTCTCGCAATAGGTGAGAAGCCAGGGACACTTCCAGTGTCTATGGGGACCATGCATGCAGGAAATGTGTTCAGCTGCAGCTCCTGATTGACTGCATGGAGCAGCTACAGCTGTGGATGGGCTCTCAACGGAGCGCCCATGATGCTGAGGATGTGATGGATAGCATGTTTAGCAAGTTAGCCACGCCACAAATAAGGCAGAAAAATGTTAGGTGACCACTAGTAAGCCTGGCCAGACAGTACTGGAGTCCACTTTGGCTATCCCACTTCCGAAGTGGTATGGTGGTGGGGAAGGGGGTCTGGTGTTGACCCTTCGGGAAGGCCGCAACAGCCAAGTTAATGGCAACATGGCTGGGTCTGCTGCACAGCAGGGGAGGAAAAAGCCTGGGAGAACTTTAGTAATAGGGGACTGAATTGTAAGGGGAACTGACAGGCGGTTCTGTGTCAACAAATGAGACTCTCAAATGATATACAAAAATCTGAAAGAACTGCAGATGCTGAAAATCAGACACCGAAACAGAAATTGCTGGAAAAACTCAGCAGGTCTGGCATCATCTGTGGAGAGAAAATAGAGTTAACGTTTCAGGCCCTTCTTCAGTTCTGCTTCAGCAATTACTGTTTTTGTCTCTCGAATGGTATGTTGCCTCCCTGTTGCCAGTGTCAGGGAAGTCTCAACAGCTGCAGGGCATGTTAAAGGGATAGAATGAACAACCAGCAGTTGTGGTACGTGTCAGTACCATCAACATGGGCTAACCAAAAAAAAGTGAGGTCCTGCAGCAGGAATGTGGAGAGTTTGATAGTGGATTAAAGAGGAAGACTACTAAGGTTGTTTGTAGTTTAGATTACTTCCAGTGCCAAGCACTACTCAATGTAGAAATAGGAAGATGGGTCTAAGATAGGCTAAAGAGCTGATGTTGGAGGGAAGGCTTTGGGTTTTTGGATCATTGGGACTGCTTTTGGGGTAGGTAGGACCTCTACAAGCTGGATGGGTTGCATCTGAACTGTAATGGGTGGAGATATTCCACCTGGAAGGGTCGCTCATACTATTGGGCGATTTGAAATTAATTTAGCAGGGGCTCTGGCACGGAGTAGATGTGAAGTTGGGAGTAAAGTCCAATCAGATGTAGAAGAACTGCTAAGACAGTCGAGTATGCAGTGATGACATAGTCACGATAAGCAATATGTGAGGTCCAGAAAACTAAATTGTATTTGTTTTAATTCAAGTTTGACTGGTTAAACTTATTGATAAAGGAAACATCACTGCAATACTGAGAGAGAATGTCCTAGAATATCTTCAAATGAGATCACGTGACTAGAGCTTAGAAACCAAACAGTGATAATTACCTTGCTGGAATTACACTACAGGCCTCCCAACATCAGAGGGAGATAGACAAGCAGATATGTAGGCAAATCATGAAGGTGTGAGAGACACAGGATTATGGTGTAGGTAGTTTCAACTTTGCTAACATTAACTGGGATTGCCTTGATGTGAAAGGGTTAAACTGGGTGAATTCTTTTTAAGTGAATTCATGGGAACTTTTTGTAACAGTACGTAGAGATCAGGCGGTGCTAGACCTAATCTGAGGACATGAAGCCAGTGACTTTGAAGTTTTGCTGGGTGAGCACTCTGGGGATAGTGACTATGACTCTAAGTTTCAACATCATTAAGGAAATGGATAAGGATAGTGCAGAAGTGTTTTAAGTGGGGAGAGTCCAAGTTCAATATCATTAGACAGGATCTGGCAAACATTGACTGGGAGCGGCTACTTGCATGTAAGTCTACATTTAGAAAGTGGGAGTCTTTTAAAAGTAGTACAGTGAGAATTCAGGGCCAGTGTTCCGCTAAGAGTGAAGGATAAGGGCAGCAAGTCCATGGAACTCTGGATGTCAAGAGATAGCAAGAGGTTGGTAAAGAAAAAGCAGGAAGGAACCTGTGTCGGGTGTAATACATTTAAAAACAGGGGAGGTGCTTCAAAAGTATAGTGTGTGTGGGAGGTGCTTAAAAAGCAATTAGGAAGGCAAAGAGGGGCCATGAAATGTCTCTTGCACATGAGATTAAGGAAAGACCCATGGCATTCTTACAAGAATATTAAGAGGATTACCAGGGGAAGAGTAGACTCTTATTACCAAAGGGGCATCTGGTGTATGGAGCCAGAGAATGTGGTGAAGCCTTAAATGAACGTTTCTCATCTGTATTCACAGAGGTTTCCTGGAAGAAACCCACATAGACGTGGGGAGAATGTGCAAACTCCACACACAGTCACCCAAAGCTGAAATCAAAACTGGGTCCCTGGTGCTGTGAGGCACCAGTGCTAATCTCTGAGTCACAGTGCCACCCATGGATCCCTGGAGGTATCATCACAGGTCTACAGTGACGAAGAAGGCATATGGGGTGTAAAATAGTGGAGCAACAAAGTCTTGTTACAACTTTCTAAAACATCGGTTAGGCTACAGATGGAATGCCATGTGCATATCTGGTCACCACACTATCAGGAGGAAGTGACTGCACTGGAAAGGGTGCAGAAGAAATTCATCAATGTTGCTTGAGATGAAAAGTTTCGGTTATGATGAGAAACTGGGTAGGTTGGGGTATTTTCCCCTTGGAGCAGAGAAGACTGCGGAGGGGATCTGCTTGAGGTATACAAAATTGAGGGGTGGTGGCAGGTTAGAATGGGGAAAAGATTCTCACATAGTGGACGTATTTCGGACCAGAGGGCACAAATTTATTATGAGGAGTAAGTGGTTTAGAGGAGATCTGATTTTAAAAAAAAGTGGAATGCGCTACCTGAGAGGGTGGTGGAGGCAAGTACTGTTGTACCATTTAAGAAACATCTGGGTGAGCTCTTAAAGTACTAGAGCATAGTAGGCTCTAGACCAAGTGCAAGTAAATGGGATTAATGTTGTTTGGTATTTGTTTGGTGAAGACATGGTAGGCTGAAGGGCCTCATTTTATGCTATTCTATGACTCTAAGTCAATCAACTCATTGATATTAAAATTTTTTATCTGTCTCCAAATCCCTCTGCTGCCCACCTCTCTCAAACGCCTTAATCCTGTAACTGCGGCGCTGCAACTCTCCAAAATATCTGTATACATCTACTTCTACCCTCCTGAGCCTCCCCAATTTTGATAACTTTACCATTGATGCAGTGCCTAGAACCTAAGCTCTGGAACCTTTTCTCTAAATCTCTTCAACTACCTTATTCTGCTTTTCTCTTTTAATGCACCCATGAAAACCTGCTTCTTTAACCATTTTGTCTATATCTGCCTCATATGAATCAGTGTTACCTTTTGCTCCTTAACAGACTCCTGAGAAGCCCCTTGGGTATTTCCAATCCTGTGTGATTGTAAACTGCTGTTGTTGAATGCACAAACAAGTGTTGACAGGATTCACTAGTCCCACAGTGTAGCTGCACCTCAGAAACTCAAACCAAAGAAAAGATATCACTTCTGAGCTTGCACCCTACCTTACTTGAATACAAGTGGCAATAAAATTGAATTTTAATTCTAATTGGAAAATAAAGTGGCAGCCATTGAATAATGTGTACTGTCAGTTGAAGAATTACTGTAGAACACCTATTTATGCTGTTTTTAAATAACTTAATTAAATCTGTTGTGATAACCCATCGTTAACATTGGTTTTTCCTTTTCTGTCTAAACAATTCAGGTTCGGGAGCTGCAGACACGTTTACAAAGCATACAAGCAACTGGCCCAGCTAGTCCGAGTCGTTTGACTGCAGCCAATCGACCAGTCAACCCCAGTACTGGTGAGCTGAGCACTAGCAGTAGCAGCAATGATATCCCTGTTGCGAAGGTGAGCCAATATCAGTCTGCAACTGTTGCATTACTTAACAATTAGCTGGGAAATCTTAGTTGCTTTCTCTTGGGAGTATTTTAGAATTGTCTTGGTGAAAGCACATAGATTTGCTTTGCAGTATAGAGATAACCTGCCCATTGTTTAGAGGCTTTTGGGCACATTTAAATGTGTTAAAAAGTATTTTGTAAACAACTTATTCAGAGATGTTATTACACACCTTTGCCACAAGGGCCTCAATTTAAAGGTGCATTCTAATATAAATTAGTAAATTAATTAGTTTCATAATGTGACAGTTTTTGAGATGTACAGTTACTAATTCTGACAGTCATTACCTGATAGGTGGCTGAACGAGTAAAACTGTCAAAGACAAGGTCGGAATCTTCCTGTTCAGATCGGCCAGTTCTGGGTTCAGAGATCAGCAATATTGGAGTAAGTATTTGAAAGTTGGAGATGACACTTCTTAATGGTCTCGAGTTATCTGGTAATGTTGTAATTCAACCTATAAAACCCATTCACCACCAATGTACTAATCGACCACATTTTTTTTTGAGCGTCAGGTAAAGGGAAATAAAATCATATTTGTGTAGTTTACAATGTTCAAAGTTCTTGACTGTTTTAAAGTACAGATCTGCATCCATTTATTTGAACACTGAGAAAAATTCCAGTGCCCTTCTGCAAATGAAAATATTCTAGATAGGCTAAAATTTTGTGTGCAACAATTGAAAGTGCCAAAGTGTAGAATTCCTGTCCACCCTTTGGAAAAAGTCAGCTCTGTCCCAAATCCCAAAACCCAAAGTAGTCATTGGACCACGCTTTTATAAAGGTACCCACCCCCAGGAGGTGGCAGGAAACTGTGAATGACACCGTGATTAGGAGAGGTGAAAATACTGAATAAGTTACTCTGTTTAAAAAAAAACAGTCCTTTTTAAGGTAATGTTGTCCTGTAGTTGGAGAGGACTGCTGTTCTTTGGAATCAGTTACTTTAGCTCTGCAATGTCAATAATACACACACGTCTTCCTTGCTCTGAGCATTTGTTGAAATAGCTGAACCTGCATTTTACATGGAGCAAAATTCTTGTGGTAGACTAGCAACTGTCAAACCATTCTGTTTTTACTCCAGCCACCAAAACTGTAGCTGTATGAAAGGTAATGATGAGAAAAAGTGCTTGAATCTCACCACCAGGTTTATGCCAGAGAGAAAATTGCTTGAAAAGCCAGTGGGTTCTGCTTTCACCTACGTTTGTTCTTCTCTGGCGTTTATTAACCCGAGTTGTGCCACTCTCCATTCCTGGATCTTCAGCCTTAAATGATTATTGTACAATAAGAAAATAACAGTAAACGGATCTAGTAGAACTTATAAGATCCAATGAGTAATTTAGAACAAGCAAACTATTGAATGTATTTAAATTTTGAATACAGTTTATATAGTTCAATCAAAATTAGCGTGGTGTCATTTGTTGAGGGTGGGATTGAAGAAATTCTACAATAGACAGGTTTTGCTGAGAAATGAATGTTAAAGGGTAGAGCATCTTGAACCTAGAATTGTTATTACAAATTAAATTCTTGCATTTTTTAAGTATTTGCCTATGATATTAATAGTTGACCACTGAGACCTAATAGTTGTAGTGTGTACCATCTACAAGATGTATTGCAGAAATTTACCAAGGTTCCTTAGCACCTTCCGAACCTATGACCACTAACATCTCAAAGGACAATGGTAGCAGACACGTGGCAACACCACCTGCAGTAGCCCTCAAGCCACTCACCATTCTGACTTAGAAATATATTGCCAGAAATATACTGCCATTACTTCAGTGTTGCTAGGTCAAAATCATGCACCTTCCATCCTAACACTATTGTGGGTCAACCAAATGGACCAGAGCAGCTCGGGCAGCTCATCACCACCAAGTTCTCAAGGGCAACTGGAAATATTCAGTAAATGCTGATCCAGCCAGTGACAGCTTCTTCCCATGAACAAATAAAAACATCATGCAGAAATCAAGGTTCAGGGAGGAACTTTCGAAGAGGAGGATTTGGGGCTTCCTGAGCTTCAATTTTGAAATGTGGTGGGGCTCTGGGGCTTCCTCAGCTTCAATTTTGAAATGTGACGATGGCTAGACACATACCACTGGAGCAGAATCGGTGACTAATGAAAATTTGTTCGAATGAATAGTTACTCTTCTTCACAAGTCTTTGTTTTATACATATTCGAGAAGGAAATCTTTGTCTATATTATGCCGTAACTCCCCCTCACCCTCAATGGCTGTTGCTTGTAAATTCTCATTAAGGTTTCATACAGGCATGAAATGGCTTATTTCACAAACATCATATAAATCTTGTTGGTTCTCTCTTGCACAGGTGTCCAGCAGTGTAGCAGAACATCTAGCCCATTCTTTGCAAGACTGCTCCAATATCCAAGAAATCTTTCAAACTCTGTACTCTCATGGTTCGGCTATTTCTGAAAGCAAGATCCGTGAATTTGAAGTGGAAACTGAAAGGTTAAACAGGTAAAATTCTCATTATAACATCTGTTTTAAGAAGAACAGAGAAGAAGATGGTTGTTTGTAGTTAGGTAATGTCAGTGACATATCTGACAAAGTGGCAAGGTACTCCCTTGACCTCCTTTCAACTTCATAAATTATAATTGCTGCTAATTATCTGGGCACTCGTGCATCATGCTTTCTTATGGTAGTGGGAGGAAATGCGAATAGTTCCTGCAAGATGGCGACAGGGTAAGTCACTCCATTCGGAGCTCCACTCTGCTCGCCAGTTCTCGTTCTCTTTTTCTTTCTTTGTCCTTCCTTTTGTTTTCTCTCTGTCTCCCTCTCTCTGTCTCTCTGGGGACTCTGGCAGCGGCATGGCGAGGGCTGGAAAGCCCTGAGTGGGACTGCAGCAGTGGAAAGGAAAGTTAGTTCTCAAGTTTCTTTTTTTATCTTATTCTAAGTTAATGTGAAAGCTGCCATGTATGTACGGTGAAGGTACACACTTTTCATTGTATTTTTATATTGAATACATGTGACAATAAATTATTCAATTCTATCAAAAGGTTCACTTTGTTATTAGCAAATGTTCAGGAATAGGTTATCATCTGCTTGACTGACAGATGGGGAAGAGCTGGAAGCCAAATTGAGCAGGAGGTGGCTGGGCAATTTTCCACATTGCCAAGTAGATGCCAGTGTCCTGCATGTACTTGAAAAGCTTGGTTATGGGAGTAAATTGAACTGGCTGACATCTGACGTGTGATGCATTTATTGCTGACCTTTTATTGGCCTGTAGAAGGTAGTGGTGCTTTCTTGAACTGGTGCAGGTACACCCTCAGTGGTGTTTGGGAAGGAGTTCCAGGATTTTGACCCAGCAACACTGAAGGAATCGTGATATAGTTCCAAATCAGGATGGTGTGTGGCTTGAAGGGGAGCTTGCTGTTTGTGGTGTTGAGAATTCCCACCGGATAGCACTGTCAGTCCACCCCTCTGTCACTTTGCTGACTGCGGATGGGTTGATTGGGTAGTTGACCAGATTGGATTTGTCTTGCTTTTTCTGAACAGGACATTCCATTGCTGGGTGGACTTCAGTATTGTACTAGCCCTGGAATACTTGGCTGGGAATGCAGCTAGTTCTGATGTACTAGTCTTCAGCACTGTTGCTGGAATGTTGTCAGGGCCCATAGTCTTTGCTGTATCCAGTGCCTTCAGCCATTTCTTAGTATTATGTGAGTAAATCAAATTGCTTGAAGGGATACTGGGGATCTCAAGACGAGGCTGAAGTAAATGTCCTCTTGGCACTTCTTGCTTGCAAAGACTCCAATCTTGTCTTTTGATTGGATGAAGATTGTTTGTGGAACGTCACTCCCCAGTGGGGAGTGTCTAGCTCTCCAATGCCATTCATGTCTCTATATGGCAGGACTGCAGAGCTTAAATCTGAGCTGTTGGTTACAGTATCACTTAACTCTGCCTCTTGCATGCTGCGTACATTGCTTGGTGTGCAAGTAGTCCAGCAGTGTAGTTTCAGCAGGTTAACACTTAATTTTAGGTAAGACTGGTACTATCCCTAATGTGCCCTCTTATAGTTGCCATTGAATCAGTATTGATTCCCTGGCTTGATAGTAATGGTAGAATATGGGATATGCCGGACTATGAGGTTACAAACTGAATGCAATGCTGATGGCTCACCTCATTGATCCCAGTTTTGAGGTGTTAGATCTGTTCAAAGTCTATTGCGTTCAGGACAGATGTTAGTGTTGAGTAAAATGATGGAAGTGTTCAGTATGAAGCTGGACTTCATCACCACAAAGACTGTGCTATGGTCACTCTTACTGACACGGTTGTGGATGGATGCATCTGCTACAAATAATTTCGTGAGGATGAGGCCAAGCATGTATTTTCTTTTTCACCTGCGACAAACAGTGTCTAGCACCCTCGGTACTCTTCCATTTGGTGTTCAACATGATAAAGAACTAATCAAACACCTTGATGGATGATAAGAATGTTTGCTTACCCACATTTTATTTGATGCTGCAGACTTGATGGTCTCTGGCATTGGTGTTGAAGACACCCAGGGCAACCTGACCCTGTCTATATACTGCTGTGATGCCACCTCTGGTGGGTCTGTCCTGCTAGTGGAATAGCTGAGCAGTATAGTGTCTGGATGATGGTCTGGAATATGTCCTCTGAGATTGCATGTACACAAGCATCATCTATGTACTGCAGTTTGATGACACTGGTTAGGGTGACTTTGGTTTAGGCTTGATGGCAGTGGCGATTGAATAATTTCCTACAGGTTCTTTAGAACATGGGTCTCACCCTGAACATCCACAAGATGAAGGTCCTCCACCAACCTGGCTTGGCATTGTGGAGTAAACCAACGATTGTCCAGGTCCACGGGGAGGCCTTGGAGAACATTAACCACTTCCAGTACTTCAGAAGTCTCCTGCTAGCCAAAGCAGCTGTTGATAAAGAGATGCAGCATCACCTCCTGTGTGCTAGTGAGGCTTCAGCCACCTGAGGAAAAAGGTGTTAGAGAACAACAGCATCAGATCAAACATGAAGAGCATGGTTTACAGAGCTGTGGTGGTTCCTGCCCACCTCTTGGCTCTGAGACATGGACTGTCTACAGCGGCCACCACAATGCATTGGAGCAGTATCACCGTCTCTGCCTGCGCAAGATCCTGTGAATCCACTGGAAAGAAAGATGCACCAACACCATCCCCAGCATCAAGGCACTGACCACCCTTGATCAGCTACGATAGGCTGGGCACGTTGTCCGCATGACTGACACGAGACTCCACTAGCAGGTGATGTACTCCCAGCTTCAAAATGGCAGGTGAGCCCCAAGTGGGCAGAGGAAGCACTTCAGTGATAGCCTCAAGTCCTCACTGGCGAAATATGGCCTTCCCACAGACACCTGAGAATCATTGGTCCAAGACTGTCCAAAGTGGTGGAGGAAGGCATCGAGCACCTCGAGACTTGCAATTGGGAATCCCACCCATCCTTTCCTGTGACCACTACTTGCTCCAAGTGTAATGGAGTCTGCAGTAGCCACATTGATCTGTACAGTCACCTACAGACTCCTCGTGAGAGTGGAAGAGAGTCATCCTCACCTTCGAGGGACTGTCGATGATGATGCCAGTGTCTGGATCATTGGAAGGTATGATTCTGAGAATGGCTATGTCAAGCTAGTGTTTGACTTGTCTGTGGGACAGCTCTGCCAAGTTTGGCATTATCCCCAAGTTTTAATAAGGAGAATGCTGCAGGGCCAACAGGGCTGTCTGTGCCATTGTTATTTTCAGTGCCTTGGCCAGTGCATGGCATCCATCTGGGTTGTTACTTTTATGAGACTTTCTTATTGTTATATGCAATATGGTGGTTTGCTAGGTCATTTTAGAGGGCAGTTAAGAGTCAACCTCATTGCTGTGGATCTAGAGTCACGTAGGCAGACCAGGTGAGGATGGCCCTAAAGTACATGTGAACTAAATGGGTTTTTGCAACAATTGACAATTTCATAGTCACCACTGGACAAGCTTTTAATTCTAACTTTATTAATAGAATTCAAATTTTGGATTTGCTTTGAAGCTGTGTCTCCAGAGCTTTTGGCTCTCTGGATTGCTCTTCCAATGAAAATGTCAACAAGCTATGGGCTCCACGAAATTGATATGGCAGTTAAGAAACTGTTTGCGATACTTAGCTTAATAAAAAGGCAGTAAATAGGAAAACAAGGCAGTCATATTAAACGTTTACAAACCTCAGCTCGAGGTTTGTGGGTGAATCTGGGCTCCCTATCTCAAGGTCTTAAGACATGGTGGACATTTACTATCAGGAATGAGTGAATTCAGCTTTCAGTCAGGAAAAGCAGGAATTGTTCTCCTTAAAGCAGAGAAGATTAAGGGAAAACTTAATAGACCTATACAAATTTGAGAGGTTTTCGAGAATAAGTTGGGAGAAATTGCTTCCTCAGCAGTTACGGATTTAAAATAAAAGATCTACATGGAAATTGAGGACTTTGTCAGAGTTGTTGCCTGAAATGCACTAATAATAGTACAGGAATTATGTTCTTGAGGAATCTTTGTAAGGCACTTAGGCATGTTTTAGAGGCGAAGTAATTTTAAGCATTTGGTGAATAACGTATTGAGTAGCACTTTCAAAAAGTCCACACAGGCATGGCAGATCAAATGGCCTATTTCTGTGCTATAAAGTTTCTGATTCAGTTATTTCACTACATTAAAAGCATTATATTTAATGTAAGCTGCTGTAGTTTGCAGTCACACCCTTTGTTTATCAAATGTTCCATAATTTACCAGTTTCTGTTAAAATAGCTAATTGATTCAATTGATTTATAAATTCGATATTGCCTTTCTCTTCTATAGTCGAATTGAGCATCTAAAATCACAGAATGATCTTCTAACTATAACGCTGGAAGAGTGCAAAAGCAATGCTGAAAGAATGAGTATGCTAGTTGGTAAATATGAATCCAATAGCACGGCGTTAAGGCTTGCACTGCAGTACAGGTAAATGCAACTGAAACTAGTTTTATTCATGTTTTTAGCTTCACCAATGTATCCGGTTATGTTTTTAATTGTTCATTTGAATCTGTGGTTCTTATCCTCCCCTCTCAAGTTCCTGAAGGGAATGGAAAGAGTAGATGAGAAATCATTCCTGTTGGTGGAAGGGTTGAGAATCAGAGGACACTGGTTTAAAGTGTTTGGGAAAAGAACCAAAAGCCACATGAAGAAAAGCATTTTTATGTGCATGGTAAGGATCTGAAATGCACTACCTGAGATAGTGGTGAAGGCAGCCTCAGTTGTGAATAAAAAAGGGAATTGGATATGCAGCTGAAGAGAAAAGACCCATATGGCCTCAGGGAAGGGGTGGGCGTGTGAAACTCGCTGAGTTGCTCTTGCACAGATGCAGCAGGCTAAAGGGCATCCTTTTATGCTGTAGCAGTTCTATGATTCTGTGGCTATGTTATTTATTCTTAGTAGCAAATGAACAATCAGAAAAAGTGCAGACCTCTATATTTCACATCGCAATGAATAGTATGTGACAAATCTGAAATGTCCTATTTAATGTAGCAATTTTTAAAATAATCTGTTTAATAAAAGCAAAATATTTCAGATGTAGAGATCTGAAATAAAAATAGAAGGTAATGGAAAATCACAGCAGGCCTGGCACCATCTATGGAGAGAGAAACAATTAATAGTTTCAGTCAAATGAGTCTTCTTTGGAACCAGGAACTGGAATCCACTGAAATTAGAACATATTGTTTTCTGACTGTGTTCCCCGTGAATTAGCAAATCAATTTTGGCAATTCCGTAGAACATTGAGTGTTTTTTCCATTTAACTAACCAGTGAAGTTCTTGTGTCCTTTGATTCCTCTTTGACCTGTCTTTCTTACATATTTTATATTATGTGATATCTGCATGGCTTGGTTTTGTAAGTCTCGATTCCGAATCAAAAGTTATTGGTCTAAGTTCCTCTGTGGTCCGGGCTGAAAATTTTGCGTAACTCCATTGGAGTGCCGTATTATCAGATTAGTTTCTTCCACATATGATGCCCAATCACAATTCTGTATTCCTTCTCATGGACATAAACAATCCTATGATTTCTCTGGAAGAGAAGAGGAGTAGTGTTCAACATTTGCTCCTCAAACAAAATCAGGGCACATTAACTGGTCATTTAGTGCATTGCAGCAACAGTAGTAATAGCTTAAAAGTAATTCATTGGCAGTAAATGCTTTTTTTGAGTGATTTTTAATTGTAAAATATGATTGCTGATCATGTTTATCCTTTGTGTGTTTGTATCCCCAGTGAACAGTGCATAGAAGCCTATGAGTTACTGCTGGCACTGGCTGAAAGTGAACAAGGACTCATTCTGGGACAGTTCAGAGCTGCGGGTGTTGGATCTGTTGGTGGGTAACAAAGTATTCATGCATTATTTTGTAGTTATCTTTCTATCATAGAACATATTGAAAGTTATACATGCAATACACGCTTTATTGCCTACTAACTTAGAATGGCACAATGTTTCAGTCTGACCTTCGTGCTTATAAAAACTATGTAGCAACATTAGAGTCATAATCGTGTCTTTTAATTTACATATCAATACTGATTGTTTTTCTGCAAGTTCTCTTTCAGACTTTTAAACACTAGGTTGCAGTACTTTCCCTGTTGCTCTGTTTCTGCCAATCATATGTTTATCTTGCTCAATAAAAAAATGAAAAAAAAACTGTGGATGCTTTAAAGCAGAAACCAAGACACAAATTGTGGGAAAAGCTCAGCAGGTCTGGCAGCATCTGTGAAGAGAAATCAGAGTTAACGTTTTGGGTCTGGTGACCCTTCCTCAGAGCTGATGTAGCTAGGAAAATGTCGGTTTTTATGCAGAAGATAGGGTGGGTGGGAGGGGGTAAAGAGTAAACAATAGGTGGGGTAGAGCCCAAAGAGAGAGAGAACAGTTGGACAGACAAAGTTGTGGATAACGATCTAGCTAGGAGAGTGAATAGCTGTTATTGGAGACTGTTGGTGGCTAACAGTAGGTTGTGTGTAATGGCAGACTGTGAGATAACAAGGCCTGGTATGTGTGAGTGGAGTCTAGGACATAGAGTTCAGGCCCTAAAGTTATTGAACTCAATTGACTCCAGTAGGCTGTAGGGTTCCCAAGCGGAAAATGAAGTGTTGTTCTTCCAGCCTATGCTGAGCTTCGCTGGAGCACTGCACTAAGCCAGAGACAGATATTGGCCAGGGAATATGGTGGTGTGTTGAAGTGACAGGCAACTGGAAGCTTGGGGTCTTTTTTGTGGGCAGAACGTAGGTGTTCTGTGAAGTGGTCACCCAGTCTACGCTTTGTTTCCCCAGTATAGAGGAGACCACAGCAGTGAATGACTAGATTGTGTGAAGTGCAGGTAAAATGCTGCTTCACCCGGAATGTATGCTTGGGCCCTTGGATACTGAGGCGGGAGCAGGTAAATGGGCAGATGTTACACCTTTGGTGATAAGGGAAGTTGCTGTGGGGCTGTGCAGGGGTGTTGGGAGTGAAGGAAAAGTGGACCAGAGTGTCTCGGAGGGAATTGTCCCTGCAGAAGGTGGACAAAGGAAGGGAGAAAAATATGTGTCAGTGGTGGAGGGAATGGATACTTGTGGATGTGATGCCAGTTAAACAGGCTGCTTTGTCCTGGATGGTGTAAAGCTTCTCGAGTGTTGATGGAGCTGCACCCATCCAGGTGATTTGTGCTTTGTAGATGATAGACAGGCTTTGGGGAGTCAGGAGGTGAGCTACTTGCTGCTGTGTTCCTAGCCTCTGGCCTGCTCTACTAGCCACTGTATTTGTGTGGTGAGTCCAGTTGAGTCTCTGGTTAATGGTAACCCCAAAGATGTTGATATTGGGGGATTTAGTGATGTTAATACCATTGAATGTCATGGGGAGGTGGTTAGACTGTTTCTTATTGGAGGTGGTCATTGCTTGGCATCTGTGTGATGTGAATGTACTTGCTGTTTGTTAGCCCAAGCCTGGATATTGCCCAGGTCTTGTTGCATTTGAATGTGGACTACTTCAGTATCTGAGGAGTTGTGAATGGTCCTGAACATTTGTGCAATCTTTGAACATCCCTGCTTCTGACCTTATGATGGAAGGAACGTTATTAATGAAGCAGCTGAAGATTTTTGGTCCCAGGGCACTACTCTGAGGGACTCCTGCAGACACGTCTTGGAGTTGAGATGACTGACCTCCCAACAACCACTACTGTCTTTGCATGTGCCAGGTATGACTCCAACCAATGGAGAGTTTGCCCTCTGATATCCATTGTTTCTAGTTTTGCTAGAGCTCCTTGATGCCCTGTTTGGCTGGATGCAGCCTTGATGTCAAAGGCTTTCAGTCTCACCTCATCTCTCAAATTCAGCTCTTTTTTTTTTTCCCATGTTTGAGCCAAGTCTGTAATGAGGTCAGGAGCCGAGTGCCTTTGATGGAACCCGAACTGGGTGACACTGAGCAGGTTATTGCTGAGCTTTTGCTACTTAATATCATTATTGATGACACTTTCCATCACTTTAGTAATTAAGAGTAGATTGATGGGGTGGTTATTGGCAGCCTTGGATTTGTCCTGCTTTTTGTGTAATACTGGAAGAGATTGTCCAGGAGAGTGGCAAGTTTTGGAGCACAGTTCTTCAATACTATTGTCAGAATGTTGTCAGGGCCCAAAACCTTCGCAGTATCTAGTGCCTCCCAACCATTTCTTGATATCATGTGGAGTGAATTGAACTGACTGAAGACTGGTATCTGTAATGCTGGGGACCACTAGAGGAGTGTGGCCTCTGTGGTGCCATCATGCTAGGAAAGGAGGATGTAAAAAGAGGGGAGTTGCATCCCCACAGGAAGGGGAAGCACTGTTGGGAATGACTGAGGAGTAGGGCAGAGTGGTGTTGAGTGAAATGGCAACTTCAAATGCTAAGTGAAGAGGACAAGACTTTTTGGTGGTGGCAGAAAACTATAAAGGCTGGTGGAGTGGAAGAGGAGTCCTATCATGGTTTCAGGAAGGCGACAAAGGGCTCACAGCAGAAACACAGGTGATGGAACAGACTGTTATGGACACCAGCCATGAAGATAAATCCTCAGCTGAAGGAAAAGGAAGATTCTGAAGCATTGTAAGTCTGCAACAGAGCAGGAGAAACTGAAAATGTAAAGGATTCTTGTAGGAAGTGGGTGGGTGAGGGTGTAGTTCATGTGGACGTTGGTATCGAGAATTGATTTTGCTGTCTGATGTTGTGCAAGTCTTTAAGCATCACGTCCCCTTTCATGAGTATGTTTGAGAAGAATTCAGGAAACTGAAATCTCACCAGTTTGTAGTGGTACCAGAAAATGCTACAAGAGTACAAAATGGGATTTCACATTTGGTATGTTTTGCTGATTAGTTAACAGAACCGCTAATCTCATATATATTGCAAAAGACCTTGATATGTTGATCTGTTTGAAGCACAAACATTGGTGCAATCCAGTTGAATTGAATGTCTTATTTCTCTGTTGCAAATTCCGTAATTTGATGCTTTTACATGATGCTTCCAGAAGGAAGTGGTTTTACTGCCATGAATGACCAAAATGAGCTCTAAGATGTGGAGTGTCAGATTTTACGTACCTTTTATGCCATCATACAGTTAATTTTACTCTTGTACCATTACTTTGAAGCTAGTTGCTCTACACGAGTATACTCTGAGCTGATTTGCCACCTTCATCCACTCCCTCTCCTTTTCCATGTTATGAATACCTTTTTGTCAACCTGTAGCCTCTTGGGTACTGTTGCTTCACACTGAAGTCCTAAAATATGGTATAATAATTTCCCAGTAATTAAAAGGTAATTGGTCATGGCTATTGGGTTTTTTTCTTATTTTGACATTCACAGTATATTTCCAGCTACAATGTTAAAAGTTCAATTTTTAAATTTTTTAAGAAGTTTTATCACTTATGAGAAAGCTGCTAACTCCTGAATTTGAGATCTGAAATGTCATTTTGGCCATTCAGCACATCAGTGCTGTTTTATCTATATTGTCATTAACAAGGTAAATGTCATCTCATCTGAACAGGTGATCAAAATGGTGAGGAAAACATAACAATGATGTTAAAGAGAGCACATGACTGCAGGAAGACAGCAGAGAATGCTGCAAAAGCACTACTAATGAAACTTGATGGCAGCTGTGGTGGAGCATGTACTGTAACAGGATGTAGTATTCAGCCCTGGGAAAGTCTGTCTTCTCATAGCCACACCAGGTGAGTAATATTGGGAAAAATGTTAACTGTCAAGGAGAAGAGGTTTCAGGAACAAAAATAGAGATTGCTGGAAAAGCTCAGCAGATTTGGTCGCATCTGTGAAGAGAAATCAGTTTCAGTTCTGATGACCCTTCCTCAGAACTAATGGTAGTTAGGAAAATGTCGATTTATATGCAGAAGATAGGGGGATGGGGGTAAGGAATAAACGATAGGTGGGGATAGATACCAAAGAGAGAGAAGAACAGTTGGACAGACAAAGGAGTGGATTATGATCTGACTAGGAGGGTGAATAGCTGTTAATGGAGACTGTTGGTGGCTAACAATAGGTTGTGTGCAATGGCAGACTGAGATAACAAGACCTGGTGTGTCAGGTAGGGAGTTAGGACATGGGAGAATTCAGGCCCTAAAATTATTGAACTCGTTATTTAATATTAAGTCCAGAGGGCTGCAGGGTCCCCAAGTGGAAACTGTGGTGGTGCTCTTCCAGCTTCCACTGAGCTTCTCTAGAACATTGCAGCAAGCCTAAGACAGAGATGTTGGCCTGGGAATAGGGTGGTGTGTTGAAGTGGCAGGCAACTGGAAGCTCAGGGTCTTTTTTTTGTGGGCAGAATGTAGATGTTCTGTGAAGCTGTCATCTACTCTAAGCTTTGTTTCCCCAAATGTAGAGGAGACCATATGGTGAGCAGCCAATGCAGTAGACTAGATTGTGAAAAGTGCAGGTAAAGTGCTGTTTCACCTGGAAGGTATGTTTGGGCCCTTGGATAGGGAGGAGGTAAATGGGCAGGTGTTATACCTTTGGCGGTTGCAGGTTAAGGTACTGTAGAGGCATGTTGGGATTGAAGGAGGTGTGGACCAAGGTGTCCTGGAGGGAACGGATCCTATGGAAGACAGACAGGGAAGGGGAGGAGAATATGTATCTGATGGCATCTCATTGGAGGTGGCAGAAATGGCATCTGATGGTATTCTGGATGTGGATGCTGGTGGGATGGTAGGTAAGGACAAGGGGAACCCTATCGCTCTTGAGAGGAAAGAGACAGGGTGAGGGTGGAAGTGCACAAGACGGGTTGGACCCAGTTGAGGGCCCTGTTGACAATGGTGCTGGGAAATCCTCACTTGAGGAAGAAGGTGGACATTTTGGATGCTCCCTCGTTGAAGTTGGCCTCATTGGAACATATGCAACAGAGACAGAGGAACTGGGAGAATGGAATGGAGTCTTTGCAGGAAGCAGGGTGTGAGGATATATATTCCAGGAAGCTGTGGCAGTTGGTGGGTTTGTAGTGGATATTAGTGGCCAGTCTATCCCCCAAAATGGAAACAGATGTTGAGGAAGGGAAAGGAGGAGTCAGAAAATGAGTGGGGTGGCAATTGGAAGTGAAATTGAGCTTTTCCAATTCTGGACAAGAGTCGGAAGCAGCTCTGATGATATCTTTGATATATTGGAGAAAGGGTTGTGGATGGGGCCCAGAAGAGGACTGGAACAAGGAATGTTCCGTGTACCCTACGAAGAGACAGGCATAACTGGAGCCCATGCGCGTACCCGTGGCCACCCCTCTGACTTGACCCCTCTTATCTTGTTCAAAAGAGAAGTTGTTGAGGGTGAAGATGAGCTCAGCCAAGCAGAGGAGAGCGGTAGTGGGTGCAGACTGTTCAGACTTTTGCTGCAGGAAGCGACGGAGAGCCCTGAGACCATCCTGGTGGAGGTTGGGCGTGTAAAGGGATTACACGTCCATGGTAAAGAGGAGGCGACTGGAGCCTGCAAACTGGAAATTCTGAAACTGGTGTAAAATGTCAGAGGAATCACGAACATAGATGGGCAGTGACTGGACCAGGAGAGAAAAGACAGAATCAAGGTAGGAAGAGATGAGTTTTGTGGGGTAGGAGCAGACTGAAACAATGGGTCTGCCTGAGCAGTCCTGCTTATGGATTTTTGGAAGGAGATAGAAGCAAGCTCTGTGGGCCTGGGGCCTATCAGCTTGGCGGCAGTAGGGAGGTGAGATCACCAGATGAAATGAGGTCAATGACCGTAGTTGATACAATGGCCTGATGTGCCATGGTGGGAGTCATGGTTCAAGGAAGATAGGAGGATGTATCTGAAAGCTGGAGGTCAGTATGCCAGGCTAAAACAGCACCACATTTATCGCCAGGCTTAATGACACAGTCAAGGTTAGATGTAAGCACGTGGAGTGCGGTCAGGTTGGAGAGAAGATATGTTGGATTGGGTGAGGGGCGGTACAGAGAAATTGAGGCAACCAATGTCACGTTGATGATTCTCGATGAACATATCGAGTCCAGGTAAAAAGTCAGAGGGGAGGGGTCCAGGTGGAGGAAGAGGTTTCAGGTGTTGGCGAAGATTGAAGCCCTGAAATGTGACCTTTTGGTAAGGAATGTCACATGCTCCTACTCACTTCCAGGTTTAACCCAGACTGGTTTGCGGATGGGCAGGGAAACCCTGTGGACCTGTCAGATAAGGCATAAAACTTTTCAGAGGCAGTTACCTTAGAACTTAACTCTGTCTTCCTGTCATATTTCCATATTTCCCGCTTTGTGTCAAACCCCACCAGGTTAACCAGGTAAAAGCACAGTAGAGACCATTTCTTCAATAAAGCTGACAAGCTGAGAAGTCTCCTAACAGTGAAATGGAATAGTTGTAGCTATGTCTGGCTAAGATGCTGGTTCTCACAGCACACCTGGTAATTTGCTCCAACTGCTTGACAGATGATTTCTAACTTACAAGCCAGTTTGTTGTGGGTAAATTACCACAAGCTACCTTTTTAATTTGGTTACTCAAGAAATCTCACAAAATCCAATACTTAAACAATTATTTAAACTTTTTGGATGTGGCAACCAAAATTAAGACCCTTCAATTAAGCTAGTTAAGTCTCACCATCCAGCTTGGCTATTACCAAAATTAACGGTGGAATTTAGCGACGACTCCAATGAACCTGTGTTCTTCTGAGGAACAAGAGGAAAAGCCTCAGCAGTTGTACCAGCTGTTTTCTTCTTAACCACGTACTGCACCACGGTTCGGAGGGAATAGACACAGATCCAGCTAGGATACACAATGTGTCTATAAAGGATCAGTGCTCTTAGCATGTATGATCATCAGTATCTCTGGAACATTTAGTTGTCTCTCTCTCTAAAATGTATAAAATTCTAACAGGACTAAACAGGCTAGATGCAGAGAAGACGTTGCCCTGTTCAATATGCCTAGAACTAAAGGTCACAGTCTCAGGATATGGAGTAGCCCGCTTAATATTGAGATGAGAAAGCATTTCTTCACTCAGATGATGGCCAGCCTGTGGAACTGGATCACTGAATGTGCTCATGAAAGAGACTGATATGTTTTTAGATATTAAAGCCATCAAGTGGTATAGAGAGAAAGTGGGAATAGAGTCAGATCTACAGCACAGAAAAGACCCTTCAGCCCACCATGTCCATGCCGGTTAAAAACAACCAGCTAACTATTCTAATTCAGTTTTCTGTGTGACCCATATCCCTGTATGCCTTAGCATCACAAATGCACATCTAAATATTTCTTAAATGTTCGGGTTTCTGCCTCAACCTCCCTTACAGGCAGAGAGTTCCAGACTCCCAGTACCCTCTGGGTGAAAAAGCTTTTCTTCAGATCGCCTCTAAACCTTCTGTCATTTAACTTAAATCTATGTCTTGTGTTCATTGATCCCGCCACTGAGGCGAAAACTTTATTTCCGTCTGTCCTATCTTTGGCCCTCGTAGTTTTATCCATTTCAGTCATGTCCCTCTTCAGTCTGTTTTGCTCCCAGTTTATCCAATCTCTCTTCATAACTAAAACTCTCCAGCTGGGGCAGCACACTGATAAATCTTCTCTGCGCCCTCTAGAGTGCTATTTCATCCCTCCTATAATATGAATTCCAGAACTGCATACAGTGCTGTAGCTGTGACCTAACCAATGTTTATATAGTTCCAGCATAACTTTCCTGCCTTAAACTCCATGTCTTGACTGTAAAAGGCAAGTATCCCATACGCCTTTCTAACCCCTTTATCCATCTGCCCTGAGGGACTGATGTACATGCACACCAAGCTCTGTCTGATCCTTAGTGCTTCCCAGGTCCTATCATTTATTATGTGTTTCCTTGCCCTGTTTGTCCTGCCCAAGTGTGTTTGTTTATTATTTACATATTATTTATTTATTTAATCACATTTCTCGAGATTGAATTCCATTTGCCACTGATCAGCCTATCTGACCAGCCCTTCTATATCCTTTTGTTGTCTAAGTCTGTCCTCCTCAATATATACCACCCCACCAATTTTTGTATTGTCTGCAAAATTACTGACCAACCCTTCTACGTTCAAGTCTAAATTATTTATATAAGCCACAAACATCAAAGGTCCCAACGTCGACCTTGTGGATTCCATTAGACGTAGATTTCGAGTTGGAAAAACCCCCCTCAACTATTATCCTCTGGCTTCCTACCACTCAGCCAATTGTGGATCTGATTTGCTAAATTTCATCATAGAATCCCTACAGTGTGGAAACAGACCCTTCGGCCCAACAAGTCCACATCAACCCTCAGAGCAACCCACCTAATCTACATATCCCTGAACACTACAGGCAATTTAGCATGGCCAGTCTACCTAGCCTGCACATCTTTGGACTGTGTGAGGAAACCGGAGCACCCCGAGGAAACCCGCACATACACGGGGAGAATGTGCAAACTCCACACAGAAAGTCGCCTGAGGCTGGAATCGAACCTGGGTCCCTGGTGCCGTGAGGCAGCAGTGCTAACCACTGAGCCACCTTTTGACATTCAATAACATCAGTAATATCTTGGCTCTCACCATTGATCGGAAACTCAATGGAACTAAGTGTCTATATGCAATAGCAGGTCAAAAGCTAGGTTTTTGGTGATGAATGTTTATTGTCTGACTAATCAAGTAGTACAAGTCAGAAGCTTGATGGAGTACTGTAATTACTTGGATGTGTTCAGCTGTAATAAGACTCAAGAAATTTGTTTTTTCTTAAGTGAAATCATTTTTGTAATCAGCATCTTAATTTAAATATCCACTGCCTCATCCACCTACATTTGATGGCTGGAATATCTACAAGCTGCACTACAGCAATGTTATATGTTCTTTGGCAGTACATCTCAAACCTGCAATCTCTACTACTTTTGAAGGAAAAGAGCAGCAAGTGCATTCCTTCACTGGGTCAAAACAATGGAAATCCCTGCATGATAGTGTTGTCGGAACACCTTGACACACAGTACAACAGTTTAACATTCTCGAGGCAGCTGAGAATGGGCACTAAATTCTGGTCTTGCCATTAGTGCAAATGACATTTAAAACTAATTTTTCAGTGATTTGTTTTTCTTTTCTCTATCTGCTTTCCTTGGTATTGTGGTTAATTTTGTTTGATTTTTATTGTCCTAACCACCTGATAATATACTAACAGATTCTTAAATTCTGTCCATAACGCACCTTTTCTGATTGGAGCCCAGATCTGTTTGAATCAAAGTAAACATAGATTTATATTCCACTGATTAGCATTTGCACCAACTTTGAGAGGAGGGGAGACTGACAAATGAAAGCTACTTAGATGTACTTTGAGGACCAGACAGTTGATGAATATTGCTGACCTTGAGAACTGCCTTCACCAGGCTGTGTCATTTTACCATGGTGTCATAATATTATTCCTCCCTATGCATATTTATTACTTCTCCTGTTTGTCATTTTTATGTATTTAATAGATGTGTACTTGAATATGTGAAATCACGCTGCCTTCAATCAGGAGCTAAAGTTTTAAAAACTGTGGATAAGGCTGACATTTTCATGCCAATATATTGCTTTGCAAACTTAGTGAGCTTACTTAAAATATATACAGCTAGCTTAATATTTTAATGCTTAATATTTGTCACAAATGCTTTTGTTCCTTGGCACAGGTGTAGTTTTATTTATGTGCTCTATAATTCACCAACCTGGCAATAATGGAAGTTATATTTTAATTTCTCATAGCAGAATCTGTGCAATTAAACCAGCAATAATAGCCAAGTTCAGGATCAACCTAGAGCAGCTGGAAAATGTTTTAAAGCATTAGTTCTTTGGCATCATAAGAGACTCAGTTGTGGCAACTTACGAACACATTTTCTAACCCTCTGACACATTGCTTGCACAGTAATTTAGCAGTCATCATCAGGGTGTTGCTGTGATCAGTCTACTACATCTAAGAGCATTTTAGGTTGGATCAATCTTCCTGTGTAACTGAGGAACAATAGTAGTGAACTACCATCGTCTAGCATTCATGCATCCCCGTCTGTACGAGGCTATGTGCTAGATTGTGAACGAAATCTAGAAGAGCTGTTGAACACAATTTGTAATGGAATTGAGGGCAGCAAGCTTTGAATGCTGTTATAAATTTTGTTTGTGTCAATTTGCAGTCTGGCAATTAAGTATACATAAAACTGAAAAATGCAAGCTTCCCACGATCTTTGTATTAGATTTAAGTTTCTGTGCTGCCAGAAAGCCTTTGAAGGGGAACAATGCTGCTAGAAATGGGGAAAATACAAAGATTACAAATGTGCAACTACAATTCACCGGATAAAGTATGCAATTTGATATTAGGGATAAAGTTTTCTGTGTAGTTAAGTTTTTAATTTAATATTTAGGAAATAATTATTATAGTTTGATAGTAGTCCAAACTAATGTGTGAATTTATTTTTACTTAATGTATTAACAAGAGATTTTATGATTGTTGTTCTTTCAGCACTACAAGTTCAACTGCTAGTAGCTGTGATACAGAGTTTACAAAAGAAGATGAGCAGAGGCTAAAGGATTATGTTCAGCAGCTTAAGAATGACAGAGCAGCAGTCAAGCTAACTATGTTAGAGCTAGAAAGTATTCATATTGATCCACTTAGTTATGATGTTAAACCTCGGGGAGATAGTCAACGACTTGATTTGGAGAATGCAGTTCTAATGCAGGAACTCATGGCTATGAAGGTGAATGAACAATCTCTTTCTTTCCATATTGTAACAACCTATTTTATAAAATGTACTGAAATATTTCCTGTATTTAAAATCATCTGTCTAGACATAACTCGACAAGCTAGTATCATGAAGCAAAGATAGAAAATGCTGAAGTATATGACATTTTACACAGCATGATTATCAAAACAACTTTCTTTATTGTATTGTTTAAAGTTAGAACAGTGTCTGGAAGTCTGAGGGCAATATTGCATACTTTTATCTTAACTAATTCAATCTGTATTTGTTTTCTAATGCCTTTAAGTATGTAAAATTGGAGAACATTTTGCTGATTTTAGTGAAAAGTAGTTGCTGGGATATATCTTTGTTATCTGGAATAAATTGCAATATATAAATAAAATGAAAATGCTCACTGTAAGCAAAGTTCGATGGAATATTGGAAAAGAAGAAATAGGTTAATGTTTGCAAGTAGATGGCTTGTCATAACTGGAAGCCAGGTAATTTATCGGGAACCTTGTCTACAATCGCAGAAGCAATTGACGGATTTAATAGCCTCTTAAAAGTTCATTGTAAATTGGAATAGATGAAATTATTCTAGGTATGATTGGATATTTCAGTTTGGAGGCTGAAAAGGCAATAGTAAAAAAAAAACCCATTATGAAGTCTAGAAGACATGTATTGCATTTCTTCCGAATCCTTCAAAGCATTTCAAATATGAACATCTGAATTCTGAGCAGGAGTAGTCCATTCAGCCCCCAATGTCTGTTCTACCATCCAATAAGATCATCATTGATCTGACTGTGGACTGAACTCCACATTCCTGCCTAGCACAATAACCTTTGATTTACTTGTTATTCAATAATCTATCTACTTCTGCCTTAAAAATATTTGCTGACGCCATCTCCACTACTCTCTGGGAAAAAGAATTATGAAGACTCATGACCCTCAGACAGAGAAATTCTTCCTTATCTTAAATGGAGGACCCCTTATTTTGACATTATGTCCTCTAGTCCTAGTCATGTCACAAGGCGAAAACAGCCTTTCAGCATTCACCCTAATAACTCCTCTTAAGATCTTAAACATTTTATTAAGGTCATGACCCATTTCCAGCCTGTCCGATTTGTCCTTATCAGATACCTCCCCCTCCCACATATCGGTTGAGTGAGCCTTCTCTGAACTAATGATACATTTACATCCTTTCTACGATGGAGACCAAAACTGAACACAGTACTCCTGATGTAGTTTCATCAATGCTGTGTATAAGTCACAAGACATCTAAGTTTTATTCCATTCCCTTTGCAATAAATACAAGCATTCCTTTGGTTTGCCTAATCACTTGCTGTACCTACATGCTAAATTTGTGATTCATGTACACAAACACCCAGATCCCCCTCTACCTCCATTTCAGCTGTCTTTTAACTAATATGATGATTTTCCACTCTTCCTGCCAAAGTGGGCAAGTTCACGTTTTCCAACATCAGGCTGCATCATTCATGCTTTTTTCCACTCACTTAACCTATCCACGTCCCTTTGCAGACTCATTATGTCCCCTTTATGACTCATTTTCCCACCTATCTTGTTTCATCAGCAAATTTAGCAACCAAACACTTGCTTCTTTCATCCGAATCATTGCTCTTAATCACAAATAGTTGAAGCCTCTGCACTGAATCCCCATGGGACTCCACTTGTCACGTCCTTCCAACCTAAAGATGATGCGTTTATGAATGCCCTCTTTCCTGTTAACCAATCAATCATTTATCCCTACTATTATGTTACCGTCTACACCCAGAGCATTGATTTTGTGGAATTGCCCTTGATGTGGCACTTTGTCCAACACTTTAAGTAGAAGTAAGCACATCCACCAGTTCCCCTTGTTCCTCAAAAGCCATACTTAAACATTATTTCTCTTTCACAAAATCATGTTAATTGCCTGATGCAGTGAGATTTTCTAAGTGCCCTGCTATACCTTCTTTAATAAATGCCAGCATTTTCCCCATTACAGATGGTAAGCAAACTGGCTTGATTTTTCCTATTTCTCCTTCCCTATTTTTCACAGATGAATCGCATCTAATATTTTTCAATTTGATGGGACATTTCCAGAATCTAGGGAATTTTGGAAATTCTAAATGAATGCATCTCCAATGTCATCAGTCACGTCTTTTAAAACCCTAAAATGTAGTCCAACAGATTTGGGGTCTGAAATAAAACAAACCATGGATACTGAAGATTTGAAACAAAACCAGAAATTCGGAAGAAGGGTCACTGGACTTGAGCTGCCAGACCAGCTTCTTTAGCAATTTGTTTTTGATTCAGATCTGGGGGTCTGTCAGCTTTTAACTCTAATAACATTTTCTGAGAACTTTTTCCCCTGATGAGTATAATTATGTTCCTCCCTCCATTTCACTTGATTCAGTTATTTCTGGGATGTTATTTGTATCCTCTACATTGAAGACAGATGCAAGTAAGTGTTCAGTTCATCTGCCATTTTGTTATTTTTTCAAGCATTAATTCATTAGACACGCTGTACAACTGACAAGATTTACATTTTTCTTTTTAAATAGTAGTTAAAACTCTTCATGTGTTTCTTATTTCTAGCTTTCTCTTGTACTTCTTTATCGTCGCTCTTTATTAATATTTGTCATGCTTTGCTGTTCTTTTTATTTCGTCTAGTCTTCTAACTTGTCCATCATTGTGAAATAACATGGTTTCTGTTTTAATTTGATGTTGTCTTTAACTTCCTTAGCTGTGGATAGTGTGTCCTTCCATTGGAGTCTTTCTTTCGATTTCACTGGACTGTACCTTCTCTGGTATTCTGAAATACTTCTTAAATGTCACACCTCTACTGACCTATGCTGTGACCTAATTTCCCAATTCACTGCAGCCAGCTCTGTCCTCATGCCTCATAATTGTCCGTATGTGAAAAGTATTTTGAAATACAGTGATAAATAAGAATGTAAACTTTGGCATCCAACGTTTAAACTGCAGGGTCCATAAGCAACAATTTGTTAATAGAAAATATGGCAGTTTTTGGTGATGTAACTGAAATCGTTGAGGTAGGAATGTTGACCAGGACACATGTAGAGTTGCTATTTCTTGTGTACTCCAGTGGTTCAGGTATACATATTTCAGTGGAAGGAAGGTAATCAATTAGGAAGTGGGAAGCCAAAAAGAGTTCAGGATCATGTTTTTGTACCAATAGAGATGCAAGTCAAAGTTGTAATGAATTTGGCCTCTTGTGTAGTGGAAGGCACTCTTAAGAATACAGTATTTCTAATTGGAGGAACATTTCCACTGGCGCAGGTGTTGAATTTTACTGTGCCAACTGCTAAGTAAAAAGAAACTAATTCAGTTGAAGTATTGGCTTTTACTCCAGTTTCCATTTTGTCACTGTTCCCTTGCACCATACCAGATTTGCTGGTAAACAATTTTAGTTCCTTTTCCACACTTTGCTCCCTGACCCCCTGAGCAATGCCATGAGGAAGGTGCTAGTCTAATTAAATAAAACAAAGTGCTGAGTACACTCAGCAGGTCTAGTAGTACTGTGAATAAAGAAACGCAGTTATTGTTTTGAACCAAGTGTGACGCTGTGCAGTATGCCTGTACAAATCACATAGACAAAATTATCCCAATAGGATTCCGTGGATCAATAGCTTCAGTCACCAACTTTTTGCACAGACAGCTGAGGTATTAATGAAGTAAAAGGTTCCTTTCCCAGTAAATGTATGTATTCTACACCAGATAAATTTGATAACTTGATGCATACCCAAGCTTGGATATTCTTGACACATTGACACAAGTCAATACATATTTATATAATCTGGAATATATTTATTTTGCCTGCAGGAGGAAATGGCAGAACTTAAAGCCCAGCTTTATTTGATGGAGAAGGAGAAGAAAGCACTTGAACTGAAGCTGAGCACTCGAGAAGCCCAGGAACAAGCTTACTTAGTACATATCGAACACCTAAAATCGGAAGTAGAAGAACAAAAGGAACACCGTGTACAATCTCTCAGCTCAACCAGCAGTGGAGGAAAGGATAAACAAGTTAAAGTAAATATTACTTTTAGTTTAGTTGATAGATGCAAGAAGTCTGAGAATGTAACATTGCTGTTTGGAAATTATTCTTTCAGTCGATAAACCTTGAAGATGTGAGTAATTCTCATTACATTGAGTTAACATGGAAAGGTAAAGATATGCACATAGCAAAATTGGCAGAATATGACTAATGAGGATCTGTGGAGCATCATTTATCTATCATATTATTAATGGCTAAGATGATGGGACAAGAGGCTAAATGTCTAAGTTTGCCAAAGACACAAAGAAATGTTGTATAAGCAGAAATGAAAGTATGATATTACAAAGATATATTGAGGGATTAAGTGAATGTCAAACTTTCGTCCATGAATTTCAAACCAGGTGAATGTTCACATGATGGAAGCTAGCTAGCAACGTTAGAGTTCTATAGAGACTTGGATGTCCAAATACACAGATCACTAAAATATAATGAACCGGCGCAGCATTTTTTTGATGATCTAACTTTCCACTTCCCTTTCTGCACTTCTTTCCTTAAAATTGATGTATTGATTTAAGCTTTTATTAGTACCTTTTTATAATTCCTCATTTGGCTCAATATTCATTTTTGTCTGATTATGCCTATATGAAGTGCATCAGGGTGTATTTTTGTGTTACTTGCACAGTACGAATGCAAATTTCTGATAATTTAGAAGAAAAGCACCAAAAGCTAGCAATGGCAGATTAGATTAAGAAACACCAACATTGGTTCCTGCTTCGAAGAACTAAACAATGATTTAAGAGCAGTCCTAGATCAACATATAAATTTGTGTTTGGGATAAACATGTTCCTGGTTTCTAAAGAGGAGAAAGCTATTGAAATGTGTAGGTTCAATAAAAGTACACTATAGTAGCTTCTTTTTATATTTCTATGCGTGTCAAGGTAATGACTGAGGAATGAAAATTCTTTTTTTGTCAACATCAAACATTATGATGTCAGGTCTAAACAATGCACTTCGTTTCCACTGATTCTTGTGTAGTTACTTCAGTTAAAAGTATAACTCTTAATTCCAGTACTAGCTAATCAAAAAGGTGCATTGTCCAAAGAGTCAAGATATCTTTTCATTATGTTTTACAGCACAACACTAGTAAACATGATGCAGCAAGAACTGAATTGAATAGCAAGTGAAATATTTTCATTTTTTAAGCACCTGATGACACAGTATGCTGAACAGCAAGGGGCGTCTCTTCATTCTTCTGTAAACTTTTCACGTAGGACAGCTGTAAACTTTATTGGTTTCTTTGTTACCACCTGAAATTAACACATGCGCATTCCAACATAGCAATTTTAACATTTATATCCAAAGATTTTGTTATTTCTGATTATATCCTTGTTTTATTTTAATCCATTAGGAATGCAGTGATGGGGTGACTCATCCTCTAACTGAACTCAGAACTCTCAATGATACTGAACTTGCAGTTGAGCTAACTAATGCATTAAAGCGGTGAGTGGAGTTACATGGGATGAATGTATGATTTCAGAAAAAGTAAATCATGTATTTTTTTTAAACAACAAGGACTTGTGTTACAATTTAATTTTGTTCTTTGCCATAAATTAGTTCTGTCTCCTTAGAATGAATTTGGTCATCCATTATTACTGGGGATAATATGTAGTGTGTGCAATCGCATTTTCACATGCTGTTTAAGAAAATTGGTAGTAATTAACTGTTAAGAAGACATCTTATCAAATAAGTTGAATTGCTAGAACTTAACAAAGCAGTAAGGATGAGAGTAAAAAAGTCAATTTTAGAACAGTGTTTTCTATGCTTGTTACTATTAACTTCGGGTAGCCGTGAAAATGAAATCGCTGCAGCATTTTGTGATCCTTCATGACAGTTAATTTCTTTCCACAAAATCCTTCTACACTCCTGTCCCACTTGCTTGGAAGCACATTGGAGTTCCGCTAAATTGACCATGTATGAGTTAATAGGAAAAAAAATCAAATTGTGCAACCAAATGAAACAGAGTTCATCAAGGCACAATGTCTAGGTGTCCAAGCCTGTGTTCCCTAAATTAATTATGGTCAGTTACAATACATTTGATTTCTTTTTTCCTTTTACCAATGTTTTGGGACAAATGTTATTACTATTCTCAATCTTGAGCAATAAAACATATACTTTATCCACTTTAAAAGGTGTAATTGCTGTCCCTAATATAAATATAGTTTATTCTGCTTATTTTTAAAGTTAGAAAGTAGGTTAATTAAACAACTTGCACAATAACACAATTGCTGAAGGAATACTGTCAAAAAAAGGTCCAGTATGTACTTGAATTTGACTTCCAGGTATAATTATACATTATTAATTCTCTTAACAGAAACATCTATGCAAATTTTAAAAATTTCCTGTGCTGGATTAAACATCTTCAGGTTTGGTTATACTCCATGAATTCTGGATCCAAGTTATGAGAGTTGGAGGATACAGTAAAATTCAAAACTATAAACTCATATTTATTATCAATATTCTACAAAGCCAGCAAATATTTTTGATTGGCTGCATGTAGAGTCTAGGATTCTGTAGATACCGGCTTGATCATGGTTTCAGTCTCTCCATATTTCTGCATTTCTCAATAATGTCTACTTTGTTGCAGTTGGTAGCTAAGTTTAATTTCCTAAAACAGTCTTTAATTCACCCAAAATAATCAGATGCAGTCAGAAATTAGTCATGCCATCCTTAATACTTTTAAGGTCCACATGCATAACCTGCAAATATTGAAGTATTGTTTAGCTAAACGTGCAGCAGGCAATATTATAAAGTTCTCTTCTCTTCATCTGTTAGGTTGGTCTTAGATATTGTTTTATAGAACTGATGTCACTAAACAAACGCTATCATGCCAATGCTGTCACTTGCATGGAATTCATACTGTTTATTATCCTAAATGCATGTGGGACTTGCATATAAATTTGCTGAATTGATTGTCTGAAATTCTAAACAACTTCAATTCAGCAAGCATGCATTGACTGAATTTGACTGAGCCACATCACGCCTCTTTCAAAATCAGAAGCAAGTCAAAATCCGTGATATACATTTTTTATTTTGAAACTCACAGCAACTAATACTAATGCAGTGGGAAGTGTATGAGTAGACATTCAAGGAAAGCAAGTACGTAGACGTTTTTCAGTACTTGCTGACTTAAAACTGCCAATAGGAATAGAACTGGATGATTTCAAATGCATTCCACTGCATAACACAGGAAGTTGATGACCTTTGCTGCCTAATTAAAGGTTGCATGATTGTTCTGCCACGGGGATAAAAAACTGAATATTGTAATATTTTAAAACTTTATTTAAAGGTCTAATATCTTAACTTTTTTTAAAAGTTATCTTGATACAGAAATGTTATTCAAAATGTTATTGGAGGTGTTTCGAGAAAAGGGCTTGCTTTGGGAAAATACCTGAAACTCAACTTCATAAATCACCCAAGTTCTGACCACAGACCTCATGAACTAAGTAACTTGTTTTGGTGATAAAGTTGCTTTTGCTCATATTTAAAAAAGTTGGAAATGGTGTGTGCAAAAGGAGGAGGGTCAGTATTCAGGCAATCTTTTGTTATTTCTGGTTGATTTGAATTTGATAAATGGATACAATATTGATGCTTGCTCATAACACAAAAGTAAGGGCTTCAGCAAACAAAATGGAAAGTTCGTTAAAGACTTCAGGAAGCCAGTGGCTGGTTGTGAGTGTGCGGGTGGCAGGACAAATTGATAATGGAAAATTGAGGTAAGGTACTTTGCAAAGAACAAAATAATAATGTGCACTTATATATCACCTTTTAATATCGAAAATATTCCAAGATGGTCCTTGGAGAGATAATCAAAAATGTACAACAAGCCAAATGAGTGAAATATTAGGGGCAATAAAAAACTAGTTAAATGGTGAGTTTTAATTGAGAAGGCAGCAGAGAGATTCAGTGGTTGAGGGAAAGAATTCCAGACCTGGGGTCCTGGGCAATTGAAGGCATGAGAAAAACTGAAAGTGATGCATTGGAGGACAGAGTCCAAGGTTTGGAGACTGGCATTTGAGTCCATGGTGGTTGAGAGGTTGGAGGAGATTATAGTTTTAGTTAAGGCATTTAAATAAGGCATTCAAAATTGCTTGAGTAAAGTTAAATCGGAGCCAGTATAAACCAGCGATGAAGGTTGGGGACTGGCAGGATTTGGTGTGGGGTGAGATTATAATAGCAGCCTCAGATGAGCTGAAGTTGATGGGTAATAGATGAAAAGTCTGCTTGGAGAATATTGAAATATTTGAGTCTGGAGTGAATGGTGTGACAAGTTATGGTATGCCAGGTATCAGGTGGATAATCAAAGCTGAATGTAGAAGGTTGAGAATGGAATTTGAAAGGCAAATGAAAGAAAGAAAGAGTGAAAGTGGAAAGAGACAGGCATCAACAAAAAAGGAATCCCAAGGTTTTGTGTAGGCATGCAGATAAAAGGGTGGTAAAGGAAGAGTAGAGCCAATTATGGACTAAAAAGACATTAATACATAGAGGCAGGGGCATAGTTGAGATATTAAATTAATACAATGCATCTGACTTTACCAAGGGAGAAGATGCTATTCAGGTCAAACACAGCACAAGAAAAGATTATTTCTCAAGATGTAACACGTGCCTGATTACTTAAAGTTCTGAAAGTTGTTTTAACTGTTTCTCCAAAATGCTTGTTGGAAATGTTGCAAGCCTGGAACTTCTGTTTCTGTTCTCTCAAAGAGCATTGAAGTTAAGGTCTTGTGATGAATTCACATTCTGACCCAAGGAATAGCAGATTTCAAGCTTTTCCAGCGAAAAATGTGGTCATTCTCCTGCAGTAAAATTTATAATCTGCAAATACAAGAGAATACTCCACTTTTCACCCTGAGATGACAATTGTTTGGGCAAGATTTCTCCTCCCATTGTGTTGGTCCGAAACTGACTAATCCTGGTGTGTTCTTAAATATTTTATTAATTCACATCACAAATCAGTTCTGTCATGTGACAACAGTATCAATGAGTTTTCCTTTCCACGTAGTGAATTGATAATTGAGCAGTTTTCCCACATAATGATGTAGTTTGCACTTGCTTGTTTCTTCACACTCCTGTTTGTCAGATTTAAAGTTTGTAGACATCAAGTCTGGGCCAATATTGCATTTTGAGTTTCTGTTAGTATTCAGACAACTGTAACTGTAAGTGAGGTTAAAACTGATTCAGAGATAGTAGGAACTGCCGATGCTGGAGTCCCTTGTTGCAATCTGATTTTCTTCAGTGGAAGGCCTTGCGCAAGGGCAATTACATTTTAATTATTTTCTGAAGATGTGAATATTCTTTTACGGGACCTGGGTATCAATGGCAAAACCAGCATTTATTGCCTAGTCTTAATAGTCCTTGAGTAGTTGGTGGTGAACTTCTTTGTTAGAATGGGAGTTTCAGCACTTTGTCTCAGCACAGTGAAATAATGGCGTTAACCACACATCACTCTGACTTGGGTGTTTTGGAGGCGAGCTTGCAGCTGGTGATGTATTTGGTGTATAATGGGTGGTTATGTATTTGAATGACAAGGGAAGATGGTTAGATGTTCTTTTATTGGAAACTTGTGTGAATGTTAATTTTCAAACGTTAGCCATGCCTAGATCTTGTCTAGGACTTGATGAATATGGATATAGACCCCATCAATACCTGGAGAGTAGCTAAATGGTGCTGAGAATTGTACAGTCATCACTAAGCATTCCCACTTCTGATGTTATGATGAAGGCCGGGTTATAAATGATGCAGCTAAAGACTTTTGGAACCAGTATACCTCCTGAGGAGCTCCTGTAATAATGTCCTTGGACTGAAACGATTGACCCCAGCAGCCAAAGACATCATCTTTTGTATTAGGTGTGACTGCAACCAATGGAGAGTTTTCCCCAAATCCTATTGACTCCAGCTTTGCAAGGGATCTTTGGTGGAACTTGGTTAAATGCTGCCTTGATTTTGACTACAGTCTCCCTCACTTCTGGAGTTCATCTATTTTATCCATGTTTGGACCAAGGCTTTAATGAGTTCAGGAGCTGATTTGCTTTTGTGGAACCAAAACTGGTCAGACATGAATCAATCCTTGTCCGTACGGAAACCACAAAAGAAGTTAGTTGACCCTTGAGTCCATTTTGTCACAGTGAGCTGTGATTTCCGTACTGCTTTTTAAGATTGAAGTGCCCATCTTCCAAGTTTTTGGTGATATAACAGGGGAACATAAGCCTTAGTTTTGGTCTCTCCCACGAAGGGTGAATATCCATACAGTGTTGCTTTATCAGGTTCACTCAAGATCTTGTAGGTTTCAGTAATATCACCTTTTGTTCTTCTGACCTTCAATGATATAGTTCAGACCTGTTGAACCTACCTTTGTAAGGTAAACACTTCATCTCAGGAATAAGTTGAATGAATTGTCTCTGACTGCTCCTAAAACAATTGTATCATCTTGCCAAATAATAGTA